TGGCCTGGGCATTCCAAAAACATATCCATATGTCAAATTTGAGTTGAATGTGTTGTACCGTTGGGGAGATAATAAACAGAAACTGAAAATTTCATATTATTTTGAAAGTGAAAGGGGAATAACTCTGCCTAAAATCATTGAACCATGGCCAACTTTGAACTTGATCTGCGCATTCTGTGACCATATCCATATGTCAAATTTGAGTTGAATGTGTTGTACCGTTGGGGAGATAATGAACGGAAACTGAAAATTTCATGTTATTTTAAAAGTAAAAGGGGCATAACTATGCCAAAAATCATCAAACCATGACCAAATTCGAACTTGACCTGTATTTTCTCATGACATATCCATATGTCAAATTTGAGTTGAATGTGTTGTACCGTTGGGGAGATAATGAACGGAAACTGAAAATTTCATATTATTTTCAAAGTGAAAGGGGCATAACTCTGCCAAAAATCATTGAACCATGACCAAATTCCAACTTGGCCTGGGCATTCCAAAAACATATCCATATGTCAAATTTGAGTTGAATGTGTTGTACCGTTGGGGAGATAATAAACAGAAACTGAAAATTTCATATTATTTTCAAAGTGAAAGGGGCATAACTCTGCCAAAAATCATTGAACCATGGCCAACTTTGAACTTGATCTGCGCATTCTGTGACATATCCATATGTCAAATTTGAGTTGAATGTGTTGTACCGTTGGGGAGATAATGAACGGAAACTGAAAATTTCATATTATTTTCAAAGTAAAAAGGGCATAACTCTGCCAAAAATCATCAAACCATGACCAAATTCATACTTGACCTGTATTTTCTCATGACATATCCATATGTCAAGTTTGAGTTGAATATGTTGTACCATTGGGGAGATAATGATCGGAAACTGACAATTTCATATTATTTTAAAGTAAAAGGGGCATAACTCTGCCAAAAATCATCGAACCATAACCAAACTCGAACTTGACCTGTATTTTCTCATGACATATCCATATGTCAAATTTGAGTTGAATGTGTGCAACTGTTACTAAGATAATGAACGGAAACTGATGATGACGGAATGACAGAATGACGGAATGACGGAAGGACGGAAGGACAGAACAGGGTAACACTATATGCCCCGGCCATTACATGGCGGGGGCATAATAAAGAAAATATGCCTAAATATGTTGACTATAGTATAAAGACCACCCAGCAAATAAGACCACTTTCCTTTAACTGTTTTTTAAACTTTGATTAAGTTATGCCATCACTTTAAAACGACACATTAAACTGTAACAAAATTAGAATTTCTGTGGAACATAAACACAAACTAAAGAAAACATTTAATTAAAGATTTTTCTATCTTTAGTCGCAAACAAGTTTATTAACTTGTACAATTTAATTCACCATTTACTGCATTTGTCAATGGATCAGGGAAGGAAATATAATTGTGATGAGTGTGAACCTAAAAATTCTTCTTGTAAAAAACCACTAGTCAAATTTCAACCAAACTTGGCAGGATTGTTTCTTGGGTGAAGGGCTTCCTTGGAACAAAATTGGCCCTATCCTGGGGGTCATTGATTTTCATTATGTACATATAGTAAAAAGAAAAATTGAAAAGTATTTTTGTTTGAAGATACAAGGTTTAGAGCTTTGATATTTGGTATGTAGTATCATCTAAAGGTCCTCTACCAGAGGTGTTCAAATTTTACCCCTAGTTTCAAAATTGGTCCGATGCCGGGTGCCATAGGTTTTCTTAATGTGCATATAATAAAAACTGGAAAAATGTTCTTGTCCGAATTGACAAAGGCTAGAGGTTAGATATTTGTCATGAAAGCGGGCTCATTGATTTTCATTATGTACATATAGTAAAAACTTAAAAATCTTTTTGTGTGAAAGGAAACAACACACATTGAATTGCCGAATACATGTTATGCAATATTTATGTAAATATTCAATATCTTGGAGTCAGTCTAAAGGCCATGATTTTCAGAAATGCTTTGAAGAGATATAAAATGAAACAATTTGAGCACATAATAAGGACATTATGATTCACACCATGTTTATTATAATGATTATGTTTTTAGAAATTGGTAATGCTTAATTGAAAAGATAGCATCTAAGAAAAAGTTACTGTACCTGCATTTCAAAGTTTAATACAGCTATGTTATACAGTTAATACCTATTTTTATCAATAATAAATTCTTTTAGTTTTAAATCAATTATTGTTCTATGACCTTTGTATCTTATCATTAGACACATCTGACATATGTCGCTTAAATATGACCTTGACCCCCAAATTCACTAGACACTACTGCATTATGGCAAGTTTAATTGTATGGTTACAAAAAATCTACTTCTGTTATATTAATGCGTTGGCATAGCATTTTTTCACAAATGCATTCTCGTTCCTTTTTGTTTTCAAATTTATTGTCTTAGAACATATAAAATTTTAATTGCCTTCATGAGTTTGTGAGTATATGTACAAGTCTCTTTTGATACATGAATTATATACCTTAATTTCTTTCTTCCTTTCTCTTTCTTTATTCCTTGTGTTTGAACGATTTTCCTATATGCTATTAATCTTGCGTTCAGAAGACTAACACCTTATTAACGTCTTTTGTAATGCTGATACTCAGAAAACGCCACCGACTACATAAATTGTAAACAAAATGTATGTATAATATAAAATTCCGATCTATACCTTTCTCTTTTTACATTTTTATAAATTATTTCCGAGAGGACACATGCTATTAAATTTTTTCTTAGTTTGCCCATGCTACCTGCTTTATCCAATCATGAAGCATAGACCGCTTCGGAGAAAGAGTACGCAGTATCTAGATTTGTTTAGAGTGTGTGCAGTATCAAATTTTCTATTATCTATATGTTTTCTTAAACAATGCGTTATAAGACATGTTTCGTACAAAGGAAAAAGAACAAAGATTGAAAATAAATTTTCGAAGTAGATTCTACAATAAACTAACTTCCAGAAGTCTGAAACATTCAGTTTAATCGGCAATTTCTTAATTTCTATAACATTTAAACGCCGGGTGTACGCAGTATCCGGAATCTAAATCGCATACAACGCAAAATATTGACCAAAAAGGGTAGAGTTGTGTCAAGGCATTTTGTACACTAAAACTAGAAGTAAGTACATCTTTTTTGCAAAACAAATTACATTCAAATATATTCTGATTTTTTACATGACTCATTTTTGTTCAAAATACCGGTTGATAAAGTGTTCGCGGTATCAGAATTTGAAGGATGTGCGCGCATGGTTTGACACCCTTGGAATAACACTGACATTGCACCAAATAAAATGAGATTCATTAATGCATTCATACATGTTTCGAATAATATACTTAATCAGCTTGTATTTGATAATAAGCGTATATAAGCGTTGTTTTCTTTTCGTGTTTATTTTATAAAAAGAAAAGATGCCGTCTTAAGTGCTTACCCTGTTACCTCATCTTGAATGTGTGTGTCATGTAAATATTCTTGTTGGCAGAGAAAATATTCACTTTCGTTTTCTCTACTTTCTTTATTTTTATGCTCATCGAAGGGAAAGCATGTGGTCGCCACTTTGTCCATCCGTATGTCCGACCAGTTGTTTCGATTTCTTGTACGGGACATAACTCTGAAACCACAATATGCATCAACAAGACACTTAGTAGATAAATAGATCTCATTGAGTAGAGGTGCAAGGCATAAGAATCGTAACACTGCTATGCCTAATTTTACAATTCTTGCCTTTTTATTGTTAAAGTTTGAACTTCTACCGTGATAGAACTCTGAACTATTGAAGTTAGAAATGTAGGATTTATATAGATCTCATTGAGTATAAGTGCAGTGCATAACTCCGCTTTTCCCTAATGATGCAGTTTTGTTTCCTTTTTTATCTTTACACTTTGTTCGCGACATAACACTGGACCCACAAGAGGTTATCAGCAAGAAGCTCAGTACGTTGATAGAACTCATTGAGTAGAAAAGCAATGCATATGATCCGTAACTCGCCTAATTTTGGAGGAATAGCCCCTTTTCATTTTTACATTTAAACTTTGTCCGGAACATAACTCTGAAGCTACAAGAGATGTCAACAAGTCATTGTAGGTAAATAGATCTCATTTGGTATAAGTGCAGTGCAAAATAAACCGTTGCTCTGCCTTGCCTTGCCTTTCCTACTTTTGATGTATTTGTATTTGCCTTTTTCATTTAACACTTTGAACCTTGTATGAGACATAACTCCAGAAACTTCAAGAAATATCAACGGTAAACTTATTGGGGAACATCACCTGTTTGACCGGCCCTTGTTTATTCTTTCTTTTTCTTTAAACTGTTAAAAGTTATTACCTTCGCACATTCGTTCTCAAATTCAAACTACCATTTAGTGTTAATTTACCCCTTTAAAGAGAGACATAGGCAAAATTTCCATTTCTTTCTTTTGAATGTTTCATTCATTATTCTGTAAATGTCCTCAAAATAAATTCAGTAGGCAGACAGAGGAACAAAACTTTTCTCTTTTTAAAGAATAAAATGGTGGTTTCCTAACTTTACCAACGTTAGAGCCTGAAGATTTCACAATAGTTGCGATATTGATTATTACTCCGGAAACATTTAAGAACAAGTCAAATGAATGACTTAGACTTGTTTCAATCATGCAATACCAACAATATCTTTTACTGTAACTTCCAGACTTGTTTTACGACTACTTTGTGATTCTGTTGGCGTCAAAAAATTTTCAACATATATATAGATGTCTCTACGGTTCAAATCCAAAATATATAGCATTTATACAGAAATTTATGATTAGACTTTAAAAATGTCATTTTAGCGTGTTTTGGGTACATTAGATCATTTAAATATTTTTGCCATTAATTTGCCTGAATGTCCCTCTAATTATCACGTAGTAGCAGTAATTCATATCTACTTTATAAGTATGTTTAACTTTTGAGACATTCTTTTCAAAAATGCACTTACTTGACAAGACATCCTTTTGTTATTTATTTGACAGATTCAGCATGGCAGATAAACTCAGTGCCTTAAAAAGGTAAGCTTTTGAATAAATCTTTTCTTTTGTCATGTTGTTTCTTATTCACCTTCCGGATCACGGCGATTGACACGCTGAATAAATCTGAGCAACTTTCAGCCGCTGCAGCGAACCCTGACAGTCTGTCAAGCAGTGAATAATTTCTCTGCATGTCAGAGCAGAGGTACAGTGAGAATGGCTGTAGACATGATCAATCACAAAAAGTGGCATGCATCGTCCAAGAATCGAACCTGGGTCGCCGTTAATCTTCAGCGCTCTACCTATTGAGTTATTCGGGCGTTTAATTAATCTTTTTGCTATGCAAAATTATTGTTTTACTTATTAAGGGATGTTTATTTATCAGCTCATTATAGATATTTTACATTTGTACTTAGTTTTGGTTTGTTACTCTGAATCTTCAAATTAAAATGTATAAATAAAATATGCATAATATATCAATATGTATATAATAAATATATAAATGTGCATTTTAGGTGGTGGTATGGAAAAGCAAGTTCGAGTCAGAAAGTAGAGGAAACAACAAGGAAAACAGAAGGTCTGGCGGCTAGGTACAAAGATGAATTAACCGAAAAAGGGATGGATGGCGTGAAAAAATTTATAAGTGATGACTTAAAAGACTGGCAACGTTATCCGCTACATACAGGAGTCACAGGGAATTCCGGTTCTGGGAAATCATCTTTTATCAATACATTAAGAGGTTTGACAGCTCTGGATGACGGTGCAGCTGCAGTTGGTGTCGATGAAACCACACAGAATTGCGCACAATACGAACATCCAGATAACAAGAGCTTTATTGTTTGGGACCTTCCTGGAGTTGGAACACCTAACTTTCCGAAAGAAAGTTATTTAGCTCAAGTTGGCTATGAAAGATTTGACTTTTTCATAGTAGTAAGCAAGACCAGATTTACAGAAAATGACATGTGGCTTGCAAAACAGATAACACATTCTGGGAAAACATTTTTCTTTGTTCGAACAAATATCGAAGCTGATGTTGCAAATGATAAAAGGACTTCAAAAAATCACAATGAAAATACACTTCTTCGATCCATGAAACAAAACGCAGAAGCGAACCTTCAAAAGGGTGGTATAAACAACCCAAAGGTGTTCCTTATCGACAACTATGCTCCGGAGAAATATGACTTCGGGAAACTCAACAACGAATTGCTGGCATCATGTGAGGGTTTGAAGAAAGATGCTGTTGCGTTATCTCTCTCAGCAGTAACAGGAGAAGTAATAGATGAGAAGAAAAGAGTTCTTGAAGGAAGAATACATCAAGTTGCTCTTGGTATAACCACAAGCTCAGAAAAAGATGAACAGAGAAGAAAATTTCAAAGTGAAATAAACTTTTACCTGAAGCAGTTTAATGTTGATGGTTCAACACTTTCCGAGAATAAGGAAATTTTGTCGATCAACGATTTTGATATTAAATCGTTCAGTCTTGTCGTCGATGGGGCAGAACACGGTCCTGGAACGACTATAAAATCGCCGACAGCACTTAGGGCCGAAATGTCTACATGGAAGCGCTTTGCTGATCACTTCACTTGGTCCAAAGAGAAAACTCTACTGTATGGATTTTGTCAGATGGCTTTGCAGAAAAATCTTGATATGCTTCACTCTCAATCCAAACAGTTCTATGATAAAAAAAGGGTCAAAGCAATGATCAGTGGTGCTACTTCACAGTAATGCACTCATAAAGTTTTGACTTCAACAAAAGCCATTTGTTGGATCAAATGATTGTTATTTTTAATAAATAAGCCTTGATGTTGAGTGTGTGTGTTTTTTGTGGGTTTTTTTTTTGGGGGGGGGGGTTGTGTTTTTTTTTGTTTGTTTGTTTTTTTTTTTTTTTTTTTTTTTTTTTGGTTTCTTTTTAACTTATTACTCGGAATTTATATGTGTTAAGTGTTTTTTTTTGTTGTTTTTTTTTTTTTTTTTTTTTTTTTTTTTTTTTTCATGAGTTCATATATATTTTTAAAGTAAGAAGGTCTCCAAAAAGGTGAAAGGCACTTGCTGAATACCTAAAAATGTTTTATTTTCTAAGATGACGTTTACAAGATAAATGCAAAGCATTTCTGTTTCCATATACCTTTAAAGACTTTTTTCCAAATGATAATGTAGAATTGCTTTACCTGAAACAAACAGAACCACATTTGTTGATTCAGTAGTAAAACAAACCATAAGTATTGCTGAAGAAGTGGAATATATTAAGGCATATTTACTTGTACAAAAGCTGTTTTTTTGGGGGGTTTTTTGTTGTTTTTTGCCTCGTGCAAACGCTTTTTTCCTTGTCAATAGTTCAACGTAGTTTTTCTTGGTTATAACATAAAAAGTGTACTATGTTATGATGACTTTTATATATACACACACTGCAGTACCTGAAATATATATGCACTATAGTAACAAAGCAATCCTAATAGGATATAGGTTTAATTTTGTGTATATAAAAGGTAACACTACTGTATAATCTTGCGTTATTTTGTGAAATCTGCATAGTTTGTTAGTTCAGTTAGTTATTATACCATGAAAAAGAAACTGACATCAGAAATTAGTGTTAAGCATGCATTTTCCAAATAAATACAAAATGGCATCTCTTTTACATAACAATTGTGATTACAGTTTATTTCATGCTTTTATATCTTGCATTTGTAAAATGACCTTGGCGGATGGTAATATAGTCATACAAATAAGATTTATCTCAATGTATGTGTAAATAGATAAAAAGTTTACTTTATTTTTTGTGTTTTGTGCGTTCTTTTTTATTTTATTTTTCTTGTTGTTATTAAGTGTTTGTGGTTGTGGGTAGGAACTTGTGCGTGTGTGTTTATGGAGCAGAATTTGGGTATTTATTCATTTGACTACTTGTTGTTTTTATTTGCTTAAGTTTAAATCATATTCATACAAATTTGATTCATCTGTGAGTAAATCAAAGTTCTTTACTTAAATACTTATTTATTCTTTCTTACTATGTTTATGGTAAGTTGTAATATTCTAAAGCCAATGCCAGTACTTCATCTTAATTCGTTAAATTTAATATTAGATACCAATAAATTACTTTTTGTTTTAAAAATGTGCTATTTCTACTTATTCAAAAGATATTGTGTTTTCTCGAAATTGTTTCTTACAAATGTATTTGTGCAACTCTTATTCCCATTCGATTCACACTGAAAATGAATTTATATGTAGAGGCTATAAGAATTGTTGTTATAGAGATTTATCCATATTCTAACTTTATAAAATTATCAACATTAAACAACCTTAAGCGAAATAAAACTGACTCATTTCAAAAAGAAGAACAGCAGAATAAATAAATACTAGAAACCACGTGATTAACATTTGCTTTTTGTGTCCTAGCTGGTACCAGACCTAAAATTCTAGCTCAAAATCTTAGTGACGGGAGATAACTCATGTATCGCTTCGGTATTTTCCGTGAGCACAAGGTGTGAGGATACAATGCTACGCGGCGATTTAATCAAAGTTTATAGGTAGTACACCACGGTAATGTAAGGGCCAGGGATTTCTTGGATATAGTGAATATTCTGGATGTAACCTTTTACCCAATGAGCATATTGGCCGTTTTCATTGAAAAGCCTCCTGTTACAAGTTCAAACTGCTATGAAACTATGAAAAATGCTGCAATACTGATGAAACTTGGCACAAATGTTGACTGGACCATAGCCTTTGTAACAGCATGCTGAATCGTAAATTTTCTGTTACCATGGCAACGGGGAGACGTCTCAAAATTGCGAAAAATCACTATTTTGCATTGTTTTTTCCATCAAAACTGATTTCAAAGTGCTGCAACTTTTCAATGAATTAAGATAGAGTAAACGGCTTTTCAGCGTCGGTTACTAATTACCCTGATATCGACCTGAGGCCATTTTTAGCCTGTCACATGTCCAAAATTTTCTTGGCGATGAGGGGGACTACGGCTTCCTTCAAACACCCTTAACAAGGGGGCACATCCCCCTTCTGGCAACCCCCTGATGTACTATTTTGATGGGGGCCGAAAAGTGGTCACTTTTTTAACAACATTTCTCAAATTAAAAACAGTGTTGGGAGCCTAAATAGGGCCTTTTTTTACTGTTTGAGGCCTCAAAAAAAGGGATGTGGCAAAAAGCCGTCAAAACACGTCTATATAAGGGAAAAGGTTAAATGACAGGTTGTCTTTAAAGTGCATTTTCAGCATGAGACATCTAATATGACCACTGGCAAATTCGAAAACATGGCCAGAAATCACATACTGTTGATTATCGATGTCATGGCCGCCATTTTTTGTAAACATTGCTATTAAACAGCATTCACGGTAAAAACAAGTCATTTTACAGGGAAGGGGGGGTACAAACTTTTAGCAGTAGCAAATAATCTACAAGGTTGAGCACCAGTTTCTTTGTGATATTTTGCATGTATAGGGAGTTGCTAAAGCAGAGAGACGGTGTTCCTTTAGCCTGTATATTTGCAGGTATTTTTTGCCAGAGGGACGAAATATGTTGTTTTGCGTCTCGGGCCACTGTAGATTTTGGGCTTCAACGGAATGAATTGCAACTTTTTGACTGCCTGCCTATTGCAGATTTGATGATTTCTTTGTAGATTTGCAATCTTATGTCATATTTGTTCTCAATAAAATGTGTTTTCTTTTTCACGGTTGTGTAGTTTGGTATCAGAATTATTAGACGGATTGTAGGACATTGACGGCAGGAACTTGAAATTAGCTGTGGATTTCGTGTGGGGTTTTTTTTTAAGAGAAAATTTCAACGGTTACACCGTCAGAAATTACGGACTTGTACGGAAATATTGGTTCCCGGCCGGATGTATAAATTTAAATTTCAAATGTAATTTCGTATTCGTGTTATTGCAGTTCGTATTAGTCTAGGTGTATTCGTATAGATTTTATTTCAGTGTTATGTAACCCACTTTGTATTCGTGAAAGAAAGGACGTTCAAGATCATAAGTTAAAACTAAATTATTCAAATTGAAAACGAAGAAGTATGCAACATAATATCTAATCACGTAGTTTAAAGAAGAAGTAGAAACAATTGATTCTTACATTCTGCAGTATCAAAATACAAATGTTTAACTGTCAATTAAAAAGTAGCAATTAACTTGTTTAAATCAATTTAAATTTATATGATTATAGATAAGAATTTAATGAATACAAATATGAATTAGATGAATAGAAATTGAAAGATAAACAGCGAATAAATACCCAAATTCTGCTCCATATGCGTTTTCATTATTGAATTTATAATTGTTCTGTTCAAAGAAATCAGTCTATATGTTTATATAAAATATAGGTACGGACTGGTGATTTTGATTTGTAATATGTATTTTATTATTTCATTCATGTCATTTACTTAACATTACTTGCAATTTTTCAAGATAATTATGTATATATGTCTATTGCTGTTAAGCATGACAGTTTTGAATGTTTTTTCATTTATAAAAGATTTTCATTTATTTCATAACAGTAAAAAATAGATCTTATGTTGACTTCTAATGAATACAAATTGGACTTTTCTAGTGTATCATCTGTATCATCAGAAATTTACAAATTTTAGTCATAAAATTTCTAAATTCAAACCTCTTTTTTCTGTAAAACTATTATGTTTTGTACTAGTACATATATTCATTTACACAAAGCTATTAAAATATGTTGCTGTGATAAATTGATGCATAATGATTTACAGCGTTTTGCTTTATAAGCTTTCTTAACTTTCTGTCTAATCCTACGGAGCCCTTAAGTGACATGACATATAATTCCTTAAGTATTAATCCGATTTTAAGAATAATTTCATAATTACGAGATATTATTGCTTAAAAACGAAATATTAAATCCTGTGATTTTACGGAATCACGATAGTCACTATAGCCTTTCTTGCCGGATCAATAATTTGATCCCTATGACATTTCCTGTCTTTATATTTATTGAGGGAATAGGCCAGTGAGGCTCTGGCCAGTAGATGGCCACTATTGATGTCTGGGTCAGTCGTCACAGGTCAAGGTCACATTTTTTGTTTGAACGTTTTTCTTTTTTCTTTTTTTTTCTTTTTTTTTTAATCATGTTCCTTTATTTAATTTCCCAATTAACATAACTTGATAACTATATAAGACATTGACTGGAGACTTGAAATATGAATAGTATGCAACTTGAATGGAAATTCATATTTCGTTATCACGAATAAATATTTCGTAAAAAAACGAATTATTTCGTAAAAACGAAATAAGATTTCGTAAAAAATTAATTTTTCGTAAAAACGAATAGATATGTCATAGAAACGAATTAATATTTCGTAAAAACAATTAGATATTTCGTAATTACGAATTAATATTTGGTAAAAACGAATTTAGTCGCGGGAAAAATGAAAAAATCACCTTAGGGGCTCCGTACAATCCATAATGCTGTAAATAACTGTTTTATGCTATACAATGTTGATGAAAATTATGTTAACTAATTGTACATGTATACAGATATAAACAGTCATTTTTTTCAATTTGAAACTAGTGATTCTGAAATTATTTTACTACAGTAATATAGACTTTAGGTGGGTAAATAAAACAACAATTGGGTTTATTAGTGTAGAGTAAAAACTGTTCAAAGTGATTGACTTACTCTCCAAATTTACAAATTTTATTAAAACTTTGAAAATGTATTGAAAATCATAAAATTCAAGTGAACAAATAAAATTATA